GTTCCACTGATGTTTCCTTGGGGAAAAAACCCAAGTTCTACTTCCCTTCAAAAGTATTCAAGGAATAGTAGACACCCTGACCCTGAACTCAACATTCAAAAAAAGAAAAATCATGGCATCCGGTCCCATCACTTCACCACAAATAGATGGGAAAAAAATGGAAACAGTGACAGACTTTATTTTCTTGGGCTCCAAAATCACTGCAGATAGTGACTGCAGCCATGAAGTTAAAAGACACTTGCTCCTTGGAAGAAAAGCTATGACCAACTTAGATAGCTGACAAAGGTCCGCCTAGTCAACGCTATGGTTTTTCCAGTGCATGAATGTGAGAGTTGGACCATAATGAAAGCTGAACGCCAAAGAATTGATGCTTTTAAATTGTGGTGTTGAAGACTCTTGAGAGTCCCTTGGACTGTAAGGAGATCCAACCAATCCATCCTAAAGGAAATCAGTCCTGAATATTCATTGGAAGGACTGATGCTGAAGCTGAAACTCCAGTACCTGATGCAAAGAACTGACTCACTGTAAAAGACCCTGATGCTGAGAAAGACTGAAAGCAGGAGAAGGGAACAACAGAGGATAAGATGGTTGGATGGCATCACCGACTTGATGGACATGAGTTTGAGCAAGCTCCAGGAGTTGGTGATGGACAGGGAAGCGTGATATGCTGCAGTCCATGGGGTGGCAAAGAGTCAGATATGACTGAGCGACTGAACTGAACTGATGCTGAAAGAATTAAATCTGTATTATTCTTTCTATAGGGCACACAGAATGATTAATGTTAATGATTAATCAAATGATTAATGTTAATTGTTCAATTTGAAATGCAGCATCACAAATGATTGTGATTCTTAAACAAGAATTTGTATTTGCTTAACAATGTAGTAAGTTTGCCAAAAGAGGAAACCTTTAACACCATTCTACTCTGAGCACAACTGGCTTCCAGGGGAAAAAAACAAAACATGCTTCCTCTTCAACTCTGAAAGCAAAGGGTAAAGCATGTTAATTTGTATCTAAAATAATTCCACTTTCTCCCCCAAAATCAATATGCTGCTGCTGCTGCTGCTGCTGCTGCTGCTGCTAAGTCATGGCCAACTCTGTGCGACCCGATAGACGGCAGCCCACCAGGCTCCCCCGTCCCTGAGATTCCCCAGGCAAGAACACTGGAGTGGGTTGCCATTTCCTTCTCCAATGCATGAAAGTGAAAAGTGAAAGTGAAGTCGCTCAGTCGTGTCTGACTCTTAGTGACCCCATGGACTGCAGCCTACCAGGCTCCTCTATCCATGGGATTTTCCAGGCAAGAGTACTGGAGTAGGTTGCCATTGCCTTCTCTGCAAAATCAATATATTATACAAAATTACAACTTTTCAGTAATTCTAAACTATGAATTTATATTGCTCAAATTAACCCAAAGCATCTAAATGTAGATCATTTTTAGACTAGGATGTGTCTGTGATCAGTAATTCCCTATTAAGTAGACAAAGGTAGCATTGGTGGAGAATGTCTATAGCTGAAAATACTTATTGATCATGTGTTATCTTATAGCCCAACTTCATCAGTATCCACTCGGCAGGATGAGGGGTACAGACAAGTGCCCTAAGATCTGCAAGAGTGAAATCTGGGCTTTTGCTACTGCAGTGGAAGAAATTCCCAGGGCTTTGAGAAGTTGGGGTATTTCAAAGAAGGTTCAAAGTTGATATACCACAAGTCTAACAAAATAAAAAGTTAAATAGTAATAACCTTTCATTACTATGGGGAATTTCGGGAGCTCAGTGGTAAAGAATCCACCTGCAATGTAGGAGATGTGGGTTCTATCCCTGGGTTGGGAAGAGCCCATGGAGAAACAAATGGCAACCCACTCCAGTATTCTTGCCTGGGAGACCCCAGGGACAGAGGAGCCTAGCAAGCTACAGTCCATGGGGTCCCAAGAGTTGGATACGACTGAAGCAGCTACACCACTACTGCCTTCATTACTATGATACAACAAATGCCAGGCACTTGCACACACACTGGTAAGGCTCCATACCCCATATATCCAGTATTGGCATCATTCTCTTATTTATTCCATTTGTCTTGCAGACTTATGTATCAGTATCACAGGAAACTTTTAAAAGACAGATGTCTGGATACCCAATCCAGAACTGCTAGATCTTACTATCTTGGGAAAGAAGAAGGGCCCCAGTATAAGTATTTTTCTTAAGCTCCCGAAATGGTTCAACAAAACCACTTTCACGTTAGCATCTGGGAATCACCACATAAGATCCTTCACCCTAAGAATCATATCTCCAGTTATATTATACTTTTTGATTTTAAAAAATTATTAAGGGACAACATATACTAATCAGATTTGAGGGAGAAATAAAACAACACTTCCAAACATAAAACATTTGAAAACATGCAAAATTTGTTTAAAAAAAGAAAGTGTGTGGATTGATATGCATAGACTATCCCTTGAGAAGGACAGGAAAAAGTTGCTAACATTCATTGGCTCTTAGGAAGGGGATTTAGCTGAAGAACAGGGGCAGAAGGTAAATTTTCACTGCTGTGTTCTTTTGCACTTTTATAAATTTTGAGCCATGTTAATATATTGGAAAAGACCCTGATTCTGGGAAAAATTGAGGGCAAGAGGAGAAGTGGGCAACAGAGAATGAGATGGTTGGATGGCATCACTGACTTAATGGACATGAGTCTGAGCAAACTCAGGGAGACCAGACTCAGGGAGATGGACAGAGAAGCCTGGTGTGCTGCAGTTCATGGGGCTGCAAAGAGTCGGACAAACTTAGCGACTGAATAGCAACAATATATTATCTATTAAAAGTAAATAAAAAGATAATTTAGAATACAGATTACCCTCGAATGACATGAATTTGAACTGTACAGGTCCACTTACATGCAGATTTTTTTCAACAGTAAATACTTTGCATCCTTGGATGTGGAGTCACAAATAGGGAGAAACCACAGATGTAAAGAAACCTTTCAAAAAAAAAAAAAGAAAGAAACCTTTCTTTCTACAAACCTTTGCTTTCAAAATCCTACCTGCCCTTATAAATCTTCTCAGAGAGGGATAGACTGGGAGTTTGGGATTGACATCTATATATCTATTTTAAATATAGCAGTGTGTATCAGAGAAAACCATAATCCAAAAGGATACATGCACCCCAATGTTCATTACAGCACTATTTACAATAGCCAAGACATGGAAGCAACCTAAATGTCCATCAACAAAGGAATAAAGAAGATGTGGTATACATATACAATGCAATATCAGTTCAGTTCAGTTCAGTCGCTCAGTTGTGTCCGACTCTTTGCGACCCCATGAATCTCAGCACGCCAGGCCTCCCTGTCCATCACCAACGCCCGGAGTCTACTCAAACTCATGTCCATTGAGTCGGTGATGCCATCCAGCCATCTCACCCTCTGTCATCCCCTTCTCCTCCTGTCCCCAATCCCTCCCAGCATCAGGGTCTTTTCCAATAAGTCAACTCTTTGCATGAGGTGGCCAAAGTACTGGAGTTTCAGCTTCAGCATCAGTCCTTCCAGTGAACACCCAGGACTGATCTCCTTTAGGATGGACTGGTTGGATCTCACATCACTCAGCTATAAAAAAGAGTGAAATAATGCTGTTTGCAGCAACACGGATAGACCTAGAGGCTATCATGTTAAATGAAGTAAGTCAGAGAAGGACAAGTATCATGTGATATCACTCATATGTGGAATCTAATTTTAAAAAAGATACAGATGAACTTATTTATGAAATAAAAGCAGACTTGGAGACATCAAAAACAAACTTACGGTCACCAAAGAGGAAAGATGGAGAGAAGGGATAAATCAGGACCTTGAGATGAACATACACACAGGACTATAAACATAAGATAAGCAATCAACAAGGGCCTAGTATACAGCACAAGGAACTCTACCCAATATTCTGTGATAACCTACAAGGAAAAAGAATCTAAAACAGAATAAATATGTGTTTGTGTACACTGAATCGCTTTGGTGTACACCTGAAACTCACACAACACTGTAAATAACCATACGCCAATAAAGTTAAAATATCAAAAACATAAAAAATAAATAAAATAGATAACCAACAAGAACCTACTGTACAACACAGGGAATGCTGCTCAATATTCTGTAATACTCTAAATGAGAAAGGATTTTGAAAAAGCATAGACACATATATTTGTGCAACTGAAACACTCTGCTCTACACCCAAGACTAACACAACATTGTCCATCAACTATGCTCCAATCTAACATTAAAAAAAAACTTTTTTAAAGTCTCCTCAGATTCTACTTCCTCCATATAGTCTCTTTTAATCTCTATACTTTGCCCACTCAGTTCAGTTCAGTTCAGTCGCTCAGTCGTGTCCGACTCTCTGCGATCCCATGAATTGCAGCATGCCAGGCCTCCCTGTCCATCACCAACTCCCGGGGTTTACTCCAACTCATGTCCATCGAGTCGGTGATGCCATACTACTCATCTATTAATCAGATGAGGGTTAATTAGCCTTCATTTGGGAATATAAATTAAAATATCAGCCTTTCTTTTTTAAGCAAACATATCTGAACTCATTATGTCCAGAGGAGTGGTATCCTTTCAAGTCATCACTTTCCATTTATCTCGTCATAAAATGACTGAGCACCTACTACGTGCAAGGCTCTGTGCCAGGTTCCAAGGACCCCAAAATAAAACTGAGTCATTCAGAGCCGATGATGTCCACAGCACCATTCAAATTCTTTTGGAATTGCGTTTTGGATCTGGCAGGAAGTAACACATTACAACCCATCTCACTTCTTTACAGGTAGCTTGTGTCTCCCACACTGGCAGGCAGATTCCTTACCACTGGGCCACCAGGGAAGCCCTGCTTAATGTACACCTGTTGATGAATTAACATATATAAAACATAATACAGCCATTTCTTCACAGTTATTCCATGAGACCCTGCATGGAATGGCCAGGTTGCCACACCCCATCCCTCCCCCCTCACCTACACTGACCTGGAGCTGTACTTCTTGAGGATGGTGTCCAAAAGGCCAACGAGCTCTTCGGCACTGATGAACTTCTGTGTGCTCAGAGTATACATCTTTTCATAGAAGTCTGCGATCTCTGTGCGAGCCTGGACAAAGAAGCAGAGCTGCTCTGACAGGTGCGAAAGGAGCTCCTCCACGTGGGGCGCGGTCCCCCCGAAGGCACCGCGGCCGGTCACCACCTTCTTCAGCTCGTTGTGCAGGGACGTATAGATGGTGCGAATGGAATCCTTCCTGCTGAAGAAAGACTGGCCCCCTGGAAGGCAAACGGCAGAAGCAGGTAAGGAAGAGAAACCAGACCCACTAAATGCCTGCCAGCATCCAGAAGGAAACAATCCAAACCACTGCGCTCAATGATTTTTTATCTACCGTCTTCTCTGACTTCTACAATATTTTGTGATTCATAATTTCACTGGAGAGTAAGTTAAGTGGATGACTTGCACCCCTCATTTGTGTAGCAATGAACCTGTGTGTGATTTTCTTGTTGTCTTGTCATTCAGCCGTCAAGTCGTGTTTGACTTTTGCAACCCCGAGGACTGGAGCCCATCAGGCTCCTCTGTCTATGGGAGTCTCCAGGCAAGAACGGGCTTCCCTGGTGGTATTCCAGGCAAGAATACTGGCATGAGTTGCCATTTTCTTCTCCAGGGGATCTTCCTGACCCAGGTGGAATCTACCACTGAGTTTTCCTTACCCACATACCAATCCCTCTTCAATGAAGGATTCAGGTCTAATTCAGAGGATAGTTAACCTAGCAAGTGACATGAACCTGGTTCTAAAAAGCCCTCCTTCCACATTTAGGAATTTAAAATAAAAGAGAATACCCAATTATGAGACACTGTTGTTATTCCTGGTATACCAGAAAACTTCATTTTGGCTTTGGAGTTGTATTTTTTTTTTTAAGCTATACTAGAAAATGGAAAACACAGCCTACTGGGATCCCAGGGGGGAAAAAGGAGATGTTAGTGTTCTTAGCAAGATTGACACTATAGGTTATATCACAATAAGCACCACATTGTGAATTATTAAGAGTAGGAAGCAATTATAAATAACTGCTGCTGTAACTCAGGGATTCCAAAAGAAATCAACAAGAAGTAAGGCCAAATACATTCTTTACAACAGTTGAAAAGGTTCAAATGGCATATACATCATTTCTTTACTTTTGTATGAATACATGAAAAACTATATTTCTGGGGCCAGTTTCATAGATGTTGTCTTAAGCAATTCTGTACCCCAACAATGTATCAGAGGCAAGACATTAGGAGAACAAAAAGAAACAGGTGAGGTTTAAGACAGGAAGTCTTAGGAATGTTAAAAATCTCAGAGACAAGGGACAGTTTAAATTCTCTGCTGAAAATTCACAGAAAGCTTTAATGAATGAGTTAGTATTCTAAACATACCAGTTAGGAGGGAAAGTTACATATCAAGGCTTTTGTAAAATGTGCTCTTAATGAATGAAATATTTCGCAATTCATTGCCCAGTTTGTATTTCAAGAAAGTATTCTTATATCCCTTACTACTATGGCAACCACCTTGCCCCAGTTTATCTGCGACTGTCCAGGTTTTAGTACTGAAAATCTAGCTTCTCAGGAAACCCTTAAGGCCATGTCCTGAAAACCCCCTCAACTCTGAGCAAACCTATGTGGACGGTCAGGCTTCTCTGATAGCTCAGTTGGTAAAGAACCTGTCTGCAATGCAAGAAACCCTGTTTTGACTCCTGGGTTGGGAAGATCCACTGGAGAAGGGATAGGCTACCCACTCCAATATTCTTGGGCATCCCTTGTGGCTCAGCTGGTAAAGAATCCATCTGCAATGCGGGCGACCTGTGTTCGATCCCTGGGTTGGGAAGATCCCCTGGAGAAGGGAAAGGCTACCCACTCCGGTATTCTGGCCTGGAGGATTCCATGGACTGTAAAGTCCATGGGGTTGCAAAGAGTCGGACACAACTGAGCGACTTTTACTTTCATGTGGATGGTCACCCTACTTAACTTCTGATTCCATAGGCAAACTACTGATACTTAACAAGTGTTTTCTCCAATATACTGCCCAATCACACTGGCTAGCATTCACATCATTTCTCTTACTAATAGCAGCAAAAACGATATGGTACAGGTGGATCCCCAGGTGGCACCAGTGGTAAAAAGCCCATCTGCCAATGCCAGAGACCTAAGAGATGTGCGTTTGATTCCTGGATCGGGAAGATCCCCTGGAAGAGAGCATGGCAATCCACTGCAGTATTCTTGCCTGGAGAATCCCATGGACAGAGAAGCCTGGAGGGCTACAGTCCATAGGGTCTCAAAGAGTCGGACACGACTGAGGTGACTTAGCACACAGAGGTGGATCCAACATCCTATACAGGACTGTATCCGGATACAGTCCTTCTCCATCTGTATTCAGTCTAGCTTTGCAGAATTTGTAAAGTGATGGTATGAAATAAATGGATATTTGTGCTGAGGTCTAGGACAAAATCTGTTAGGTTAGGAAGGTGACGAGAGTAATGAGTAAAAGCTGAAAGCTCTGGAAGGCTGAAAACACTTGGTTCCAAATCCCAGCTTCCAAATTTACAAGCTGTGTGATGTGCACTAACAGCCACTTTGAGCCTGGGTTGTTGTTTTAACATGAAACTAAAAAGAAACAATGAAATAACACTTGGTTTGTAACAAGCCTGGAGCAAAGCACATAATCAATAATGCTAATCCCTTTCCCTTTCATTTGGGCTTCCCTTGTGGCTCAGCTGGTAAAGAATCCGCCTGCATGTGGGAGACCGGGGTTCGATCCCTAGGTTGGGAAGATCCCCTGGAGAAGGGAAAGGCTACCCACTCCAGTATTCTGGCCTGGAGAATTCCAAGGACTATACAGTCCATGGGGTTACAAAGAGTCAGACACGACTGAGCGACTTTCACTTTCCTTCCACTTCTAACTGATATAAGAAGCTCTCCCAATAAACATATGAAAGATGCTCAACGTCCCTCATTATTAGAGAAATGCAAATAAAAATCTCAGTGAGGTAACACCTCACACCATTCTGAAAGGCCATTACTAAGAAATCTATAAACAACAAATGCTGGAGAGTATGTGGAGAAAAGGGAACCCCCTTGCGCAGTTGGTGGGAATGTAAATTGATACAGCCACTATGGAGAACCATAGGGAGACTTCTTAAAACACTAGGACTAAAACTACCACACAACCCAGCAATCCCACTACTGGGCATAGACCCTTAGAAAACCATAATTCAAAGGCACACACGTACCCCAGCACTCACTGCACCACTATTTACAATAGCTATGACATGCAAGCAACCCTAGGTATCCATCAATAGATGAATGGATAAAGTTGTGGTACATATATACAATGAAATGCTGTGTGTGTGTGTTGTGTTAAGTCGCTTCAGTCATGGCTGACTCTTTGCGACCCCATGGACTAAAACCCGCCAGGCTCCCCTGTCCTTGGGATTTTCCAGGCAAGAATGGCTGGAGTGGGTTGCCATTTCCTTCTCTAAGGGACCTTCCTGACCCAGGGATCAAACCCACATCTCTTATGTCTCCTGCATTGCCAGGCAGGTACTTTATCACTAGCACTACCTGGGAAGCCCATAAAAAAGGAATGAATTTGAGTCAGGTGAACTAAGATGGATGAACTTATAGTCTGTAATACAGATTGAAGCAAGTTAGAGAAAACCAAATATTGTGTGGGTGCTAAGTCATTTCAGTCGTGTCTGACTCTTTGTGACCCAATGGACCATAGCCCACCAGACTCCTCTGTCCATGTGATTCTCCAGGCAAGAATACTGGAGTGGGTTACCATGCCGTCCTCCAGGGGATCTTCCCAACCCAGGGATCAAACTCGCACCTCTTATGTTTCCTATACTGGTAGATGTGTTCTTTACCACTAGTGCTGCCTAGGGGGCCCCAAATATCATACACTAACACATAAGTATGGAATCTACAAAAATAGTACTGATGAGCCTATTTGCAGGGCAGGCACAGAGCCAAAGACATGGAGAACAAACTTGTGGACACAGCAGGGGAAGGAGAGGGTGGGATGAATTGAGAAAGTAGCATTGAAACATTTTTTATTACCATCTGTAATACAGACGGCTAGTGGGAAGCTGCAGTATAACACACGGAGCTCAATGTGTGCTCCAGGACAGTCTTGAGGGGTGGGATGGGGGCTGTGGTGGGAGGGAGGTTCAAGAGGGACAGGGCATATGCACACATATGACTAATTCAAGTTGTTGTGTGGCAGAAACAAACACAACATTGTAAAGCAATTATCCTCCTCTTAAAAACAAAAGATGGAGAAGGCAATGGCACCCCACTCCAGTGTTCTTGCCTGGAAAATCCCATGGACGGAGGAGCCTGGTAGGCTGCGGTCCATGGGGTCGCTAAGAGTCGGACATGACTGAGCGACTTCTCTTTTTCACTTTAAAAACAAAAGAAGCTCCCAATACTCCAGAGTCAGCCTCCGCAACTCTGTGGTCCATTGGGAGCTTCAAGCACTGGCAAAGAACAGCTAGCTACTTGATAGATAACTGGGTTATCTAGGGGGTGTGGAAGGGTTTTCCTGGTGGCTCAGCTCGTAAAGAATCCGCCTGCAATGCAGGAGGCCTGGATTTGATCCTTCGGACAGGAAGATCCACTGAAGAAGGGAACAGCTACCCACTCCACTATTCTTGCCTGGAGCATTCCATGGACAGAGGAGCCTGGCGGGCTACAGTCCACGGGGTCTCAAAGGGTTGGACACGACTAAGCGACTAAACATGCACACACGCATTTGGTGTGGAAACGCCACATAAATATAAAGAATACCTTTTAAAGCTTATCCATAAACATACACTACTAGTATGTGAAATCAAGTGAACTGACACTTTAAGGAAGGGAAAGACCACCAATGCATTTCTTTTAAATGGATTTTTTTTCTCAAAGCTCTCAGGAGCACAAGCCTATTTGGTGACTGTCCTGCTGAGGAATGGGAGGCCCAGGTGGCTCCATGGTCAAGAATCCACCTGCCAATGCAGGAGACTCGGGTTCGATCCCTGGGTGGGAAAGATCCCCTAGAGAAAGAAACCCACTCCGGTATTCTTGCCTGGAACATTCCATGGACAGGGGAGCCCGGCAGGCTACAGTCTAGGGGTCTGCAAAGAATCAGACATGACGAGCACATACATTACACACACACACACACACACACACACACACACACACACACACACACAGACTGAAATACCCAATGGGGAGAGGGCCTCCTTCATGCTGGGAAACACAGAGCCAGAGAAACCAGGCTTCTTTCTTGTCTCCGTTTTTTGAATTTACAAAATATAATTATTTTGAATTATTTCTAGAAGTCTATTTTCATGAAAGCTCATTATTTTTTAAGATTTCAACAGTCTATCTCATATCATGAAATTTCAAGTAGCAAGAATATTAAAGGAGTGTGCAAAATTTCTAAGCACATTTTATTCCACAACTTCTTGCTAATGATAACCTTTAAACAGCAGTTCTCAAGTTAAGTCATTTTCTACCATGGTAACTTCCAGCAACCAGATGTCGAGGAAACTCTCCAACAACAAAACAAAGGGGAGGAAAGTATGACCTTCTAAAGTCCTCCACAAGTGATAACGGCAGAGCGAAGGGGCAAAGTAGGGAATTAAATAGTTAAAAATCACTAGGTGATTATAAGTAGAAAAATATGGGAGACCCTTGTAAGTTACTGATTATTCAAAAAAGTAGGTTTGCTTAATCACGAAACCAAGCAGGCTTGCTTAGCAACAAAACCATGCTGCAGAAGCATGAGACATGCGCCCAAACACTAAAACAATGGGGGCATGAGACTCATATATTCCCCAGTGAGCTCAGTAAGTTAATGATCACCACTTTGACACGCTCTCTGACATATAGAAAACAATGATTTGTGGACCTAGCTTGACCATGTTTGGACAAGAAAACTCCCCTGCCCAACCTGGAGGAGGAGCCGATGATGGAACCATGACGTCTACTCAAGGAAGACAAGGAAGTTCTTCTCCCTGCTACTTTTCCTTTGATTATAAAACTATTGCTCAGCATTTCTCACCCACCCGCTTGTAAGCCTCACAAGGGTCCTATTCTTATAAATCACTTCTTATCTATCACTTTGCTCTCATTAAGTTCTCCGTGCTGAGACATAAAGCACTGTGGCCCGAGAGCTCTTTGGAGCCCCCGGAAACGACACCAGTTGGTTTCGGTTTCACAGGTATTTTCTTTTCCCAAATATGTATATTCTCCCCTCAGATTATGGAGAAGGCTATAAGATAAGCACTTCCCCCAAAGTTCTTCAACTGAGCCAAGACAGGAAGAGAAGGCTCCCTGTCAGTTCTGTCCTTTGTCTAAAGTTCCATCCTTCCATTTATAATCAGGATTCACGGCTAAGGTCTCCAATAAACAGTCACAAAAGTAGGGTCAAAAAGACTCACTTTTTAAAACCATGCTTTCTACATGTTTAAAAGGTATACATAAACTTTTTTGTTTTGCTTTTTAAAAAACCCAGATAAGTATTCTAAATAGCAAAGTAATTGAAGAACATGGGACTGTATTAAGTGGCAACGTAAAAATTTTCCCAAGTTTTTAAGAAAATGGGAGAGTCAGCTCAATAATCAAGAAGTCATATTGTAAGCACGTTGATAGCACAAACATTCCCATACCAAAAAACCGTAAGGTATTTGCAAAGTTAAAATTTTACATCTGGAACCTACATTTACTGTACATGGGAATAAGTTATAAGGCATTAAACATGCCATTTTCAGAACATTTACTCTGAAATGACAGATCAGCTGGGAGCCTCAACAGCCCTGAGGATGTTTCATACTGTAAATTGCTCTGTGGATCAATTTCAAAGCACAGTCCTCAGGCTCACCCATGCAAGCTGGGGTCCTTGCAGAACTAATCACTTTACATAATAAGAGCCACTTCACAGAATCCAAGTCAGAGACAGTGATGGCCTTGTGCATGTTCTCATGCACATCAGACACATAAAGCCAGGCACATACAGTGTAAACTAGAGTAGATTTTTCTTTCTTTTTTTGGATTGCTTAACTGTGGTCTATACTCAGGCTATGGGTTTCCCAGGTGGTTCAGCAGGTAAAGAATCCACTTGAAGATGTGGTTTCAGTCCCTGGGTCAGAATGGCAACCCAGTCCAGTATTCTTGCCTGGGAAATCCCATGGACAGAGGAGCCTAGCCAGCTAGGGTCCATGAGATGGAAAGAGCTGGACATGACTCAGCGACTAAACAACAACATACCTAGGCTTTAGGAAATCCGACTGAATACTTTCAGGTTATATGCAAAATTGTATTACATATATATTTTTCTGGGGAGTGAGGCCACAGGTTCCCAAATTCTCATAGGTGAGCTAAAAGAAAAAACCTAAGAAACGTGACTCTGGGTTCAATTACCAATCTTCCTGAGGTAGGGGATCTAAAAACACTAAAACCGCCAGAAAATTACCCACCATCAATTTTATAGCCAGGATCATCTCCATTTTCATATATACATAATAATATGTAAATGACATAATACATAGTATGTAAATTACAACACATCTACAATTTTTTATAAATCATATGGTTACAAACACAATCTGACAGTTCAAAGGTAGGTATTCTGGTACAGGCTCTGTCACCTACTCACACAACTTCACACACACACACACACACACACACACACACACACACAATTTGCCAATCCATAGAAAGGGGAATTACAATAATGCAACAGCAATTGTAAATTTATGAAAAGTGCCACTGTAGGAAAGGAGGAAAAAATGCAGAAGGTGAAACTACCTGACTAGTTCTTGCCAACAAGTCAACATATTAAATAACAAGATACTGTTTGATACAGTTTGAAAAGCTAAAGCAAAGATCTCAGAAAGTCCTGTCCCTTGGGTGTTTACAGAAAGCAAGATATACAGGGTCACCTTCTGGCAATAGAAGGAAAGTAGGGGAAAAAACTCAAACTGGAATCTGCACTCAGTTGTACTCTTCTAGTTTATATTGTGTATGTGTCCTTCATTCATACCAGACCCCGTGCCTCAGAGATTGTAGAGTCTAAAACAGGCCAAAGCACTAAAAAGACTCTTAAAACCTCTGGAATTCATAATATTGGTTATTATTACTCGTAATACTTTATATGTAGAGCCTTTGGCTTTCACATATATTATTTCCTTCTGATCTACTCATACTGTTTGTTTCTACTAGTGAAAATCAGCTGAATCAGCTCCTGCATTTGATTTTCAGGGGCAAGGTTTATCATGGGATGATAAGCGTGTTTACCATTTTCTCTGTAATACCCCTCTTGTTGGGCATATTTCTTGCCTTTCCTGTCCAGTATTCACTTTTTTTCCTAGATTCATTAAATGTTTATTGAGGGTCTACGTAGACGGGGTAGGACTCCATCTGTAATACTCTGGGGCCTTAGCCTTAAGAGGCCAGACAACAGTGTTTATTAATTCTAACTAGGTTGTACTGCCAAGTTTTGCTCCTCTCGCCGCAGTGTCACTGGTTTAACTTCTCACTTATGGCACCAATCCACGCATGAGAAAAATGGATACAGCCATCCTTTTGGAGCACAGCCCTGCAAAGAACATCCACCCAGTTGGCCAATCTAACCGCCGCGCAGGCCGGTGGGCGGGGTTTGTGGAAGCCGAGGGAAGGAAGGGATCGGTGGGAGGAGACCTGGGAGTGCAGAGTTGAGCCAGCGGCTACCAGTGACAGAGAGACTGGGAACCCAAGCCACTGCCGATCGGGGAATATACTCCCTTTCCTTCCTCCTCCAGGGGCACCGGGGGGCGGGGCGGAGGTACCTAGTTTCTGCCCCAAGTAGGTGAGGCTGTGATAGACCTTCTCGGCCGCGGCCAGGTGGGCCAATGCCGCCAGCAGCGACAGCCAGCTGCCCCCCGCGCTCTTGTTGGCCTCTCGTTCCTTCTCCACATTGTCCTTGGCCTTGTCGTAAGAGAAGATACCCAGATGAGAGAAGAACGTCTCCAGCACCGCCTGTTCCACCGGGACCGGGGCGGCCAGCGGGATAGACTCCCCCATGCGAGCTGCGCTCCAGCTCCACCCACGTGGCTCGCCTCTCCCTCGCACTTCCGGGTTCTCAGGGAACGTGCGCACGAGCGTGCGTGCGCGTAACCGCTGCAAGCGGCGGGCTCGTGAGCGCGCTGCTACCCGGACTGAGCCTGGGCCTCAGAGAGGACGAGGGTAAGAGTTCAGGCGAGAGACGGGTGACCGCCCCTCGGTTCCTGAGCCGCTTCGGCGCTCCCGTTCCCGCAGCTCTGACTATTCGGACCCTCAGGGCAGAGCGCTAAGAGGCCTACTCGCTGCTCCGTGGAGCTGACGTTCAGAGGTGAGCTCAGAGGCCCCGCCCCGTGAGACTGCGTCAGTGCCGATGACGTCATGGTTACGTGACGTCAGTGGTGCTTGGGCTAACCTCTGGCTTGCGCTCCGCCGAGCCTGAGGCGCAGGGCCAGGGATTGAGACTGAGGCCTAGAAGCGTGCTGGCTCTCACAACAAGGACTCTGTAGCCATTGCTTTCGAACCAACCCCAGTAAGTGGTTTATAGAAGCCTCACGTAGGTAAACGTTTATTTCTTTTCCTCATGTCTGATTTTCACCCAGTCACGCGAGTTAATTCTCGCCTCTGCGGGGGTTCTCTCAAGTTCGTGCTGGCGGAAGGGCTTCCGCGCAGAGCTGCCCCTGGGCTTGGCCACACCACATCAGGCTTCCTTAAAAAGTTCTCAGAATGAAGGCTACCTCAATGCAACTTCTGTTAAAGAATCTGAATTGCGCCACTTTGCCATTCAGGTTAATTGCAAATTTCTCTGACATTTAAGAAATTCCATAACCCAGCTCATGTGTATGTCCCCTGCTTGAGACACTACCCACTTCTCACTTAGCTATTACTTTTCTCTTTCCTTGTACATGCTTTTTTTTTTTTAATTTAGTTTGTACATGTGTTTAGTCACATAAATTTACATGTCTGTTTCCCCTACGAAGTGGTGATTTCCCTAAAGCAGAGTCTCGGGTAACCTAGACTTTACAATCTCTGCATCATGGATGGCACAATGATGTTCCTTAGTCAAATGAGGGAATTGCTGGTTTTCATTTTGTTGGTCAAATGAGATCTGTTCTGCCATTGTTACCTTTTAATATAACATCCCATAATTTGATTTTAATGAATATATAGTGTGTCTGTTGCTTGCTCTCAAGAATATAATTGAGTAAGATCAACTCTGTTAACTGTGATACAAGGCAGAATTTTATATGTTATAAAGGTAAAAAGGGAGGCATCCGTGGTGTCTTTTTGGAGGAATCAAGGCTTCCTGGAAGACAATGTGATGGTTCTAAATGAATGAGTAGAAAAGTAAGTAATCAAAAAAAAAAAAAAAGTCTAGTACCAGCACCAAAACCGACAGGCAGTGAAAGACAGTTTTAAAGCTCATAAACATACTCAAGGTATGTAAGAATTCCTTAGATAGTAAGGGTAACATCATAGATGAGTGGGGAAAGGGAAACTCAATTAATAGTGAAGGAGACATGATTATGGGGAAGGAAAAAAAACTTTCCCCCTGTATCCTGCAACAAAAAATAATTGCATATGTAAAAAACAAAATCATAAACAGACTAGAAAGAAATACAAGTGAAAATTTAATTGATCTAGAAATAGAAGAACATAATTATGAAAGAATTGGAAGAAATTACAATTCCAGGAAGGGATTGAATTGTTTGTAAAAATTTCAAGAAAACACAGTGCCATCCTGGGGGAAAGATCTTTGTAACTGTATGTCAGGCAGAGGTCTGATGTGCTTAACATATCAAGATCTAGTCATCAGAGAAATGCAGATTATTATATTTTTCACCTACCAGATTTTGCAAAAATCTTTTTTTATGTGCTGGTAAACATGCAGGGACTCTCTTCTTATACCTTACAGATGGGAGTGTAACTTGGTATGACCTTCCGGGAAAACATTTGGCAATATATATTAAGGTTGTGTGTTAGTCACTCAGTTGTGTCCAACTCTTTGTGACCCCATGGACTATAGCCCGCCAGGCTCCTCTGTCAATGGAATTCTTCAGGCAAGAATACTGGAGTGGGTTGCCATTTCCTTCTTCTATATATTAAGGTTAAATGAGAGTGTATGCACAGTGTCTAAAACACTAAGACAAAATAGATGCTTAATAAATACTAGTTAACACTTATTGTTACTATTGTTGCTTTTATCATTCACAACATCCGACCTTTTAATCAGCAGAGCACCTAGAATAATACCTTGAACTTATCAAATTTAATAGTAGCCAGTTATTTTACCTGCAAAAGAGTTTACTCAGAAATAGCCAGAGGAATTGCAATTCAGGTAATGGAAACTATGGTGGACCCCTGGCAAGTCCAGAGGACATGGAAGGGCTTCCCTGGTGGCTTAGATACTAAAGAATTTACCTGCAATGCAGGCAGCCTGGGTTCGCTCCTTGGGACAGGAAGATCCCGTGGAGAAGTGAGTGGTTACCCACTCCAGTATTCTTGCCTGGAGAATTCCATGGACAGAGGAGCCTGGCAGGCTATAGCCCATGGGGTCACAAACAGTTGGACACAACTGAGCGACTGAATTGAACTGAACTGAACAGAAGGGGCTGTCATAACTAAATAGTTCACGGGAGGAAGCAGAGAGTTCAGAGTATGGCCTGTGGAGGCTTTTCACTGTTTGTGGTGCTACAGTCTTTGACTGACTGGGCAGTGGTTGGCCAGAAAGATGGTTTTCTTCTTCCTGCTAAACAGTAAAGTAGGCAATACCTTCGTGTGGGAAAGAGGTAGGGGTATGTCTCTTACAGTTTGGAGTAACTGATGGTGCACAGACATGAGCTCTCCCTACAGACATGTTCTGACTCCAGCTTCAGCTGAGGTTCTTTATTTCTACAAACTTAATGGGTGTTTATTAATGTCTGTTTATATTTGATTGGCTGATTCTCCTTGTCTTAAAGGAATTTTGTAGGAGAAAGATACTGAGTCAGTGACATGATAGGCTATTAAAACATTGACGCTGTAAAAATACAGGTTACCTTAAAGGATCATCTGATTTAGTCTATTAGCAAGACACTTTGGACAGTAGCAAAAATGTTTGCTGTTGACGATATGCTTGCCATCTACTGCTGTGTATTAAATGACTCCGAAACTTAGTGACTTTTGTTGTTGCTGTTGTTCAGTCACTGAATGGTGTTCAACTCTTTGCAGTCCCATGGATTGTTGCTTCTTGACCCTCATACAGGTTTCTCAGGAGACAGGTCAGGTGGTCTGGTACTCCCAGCTCTTGAAGAATTTTTCACAGTTTGTTGTGATCCACATAGTCAAAGGCTTTAGCATAGTCAGTAAAGCAGAAGGAGATGTTATTCTGGAATTCCCTTCCTTTCTCTATGATCCAACAAATGTTGGCAATTTGCTCTCTGGTTCCTCTGCCTTTTCTCAACCCAGCTTGTACATCCTGGAAGTTCTCGGTTCACACACTACTGAAGCCTAGCTTGAAGGATTTTGAGCATTACCTTGCTAGCATGTGAAATGAGCGGTAGTTTGAACATTCTTTAGCATTGCCTTTCTTTGGGACTGGAATGAAAATTGACCTTTTCCAGTCCTGTGGCCACTGCTGAGTTTTCCAAATTTGCTGGCATATTGAGTGCAGCACTTTCACAGCATCATCTTTCAAGGATTTGAAATAGCTCAACTGGAATTCCATCACCTCCACCAGCTTTGTTCATAGTGATGCTTCCTAAGGCCCACTTGATTTCAGATTCCAGGATGTCTGGCTCTAGGTAAGTGATCACACCATCATGGTTATCTGGGTCATGAAGATCTTTTTTGTACAGTTCTTCTGTGTATTCTGTTCACCTCTTTTTAATATCTTCTGCTTCTGTTAGATCCATACCATTTCTGTCCTTTATTGTGCTCATCTTTTCATGAAATGTTCCCTTGGTATCTCTTAATTTTCTTGAAGAAGATCTCTAGTCTTTCCCATTTGATTGTTTTCCTCTATTTCTCTGGGTTGATCACTGAGGAAGGCTTTCTTACCTGTCCTTGCTATTTTCTGGAACTATGCATTCAAATGGGAATATCTTTCATTTTCTTCTTTGCCTTTAGCTTCTCTTCTTTTCTTAGCTATTCACACACAAAAAATAATTACAGCTAAATTTATTGAGTACCTAATAAATTCCAGGAACTGTACTAAGTGCCTTCTGTGTATTAACTCATTTAATCCTTAGAACAATGTTATATTCATTATGAAAATATTTTTAAAAGAGAGAAAACCAACGTTAATCTGCAAACCCAGAGGTTAATCACTGTTGACATTTCCGGTGAACACTGTGGTATCCTGCCTGGAGCTCAGCATACAGCTGCCAGGAATCTTGGCTGCCGATGACTCACAGTTGAGTTGTTCTCCAGAATTACCTTCTGTGAAGGCAACTGCCTCACACTAGGTTACATCCCCTCCCTGGGGACAGCCCACATCCCATGACTGGTCACCTGTAAAGGTACAAGGCACAGTCCCTCAAAGATAAATAATTGCTTATTAAAAAAAAAAAAAAGGTTCAATGTGGTCTTGATCCCTTGTGGGAGATCCTGCATGCTGCAACTAAGACCCAGTGCAGCCAAAATAAATTTTTAAAAAAGGAACAAGGGACAGTCTGAGACATCCAGCTTCAGAACTCACCTTGGAAACAACGCGGTGGCAGCTGCCCTGTGGTTCACCCTCTCCCTCTGCCCAGTCTTGCCTCCCTTGCAGGTGCTGCCTCTCAGAGTATTCTGTGCTAAACCACCTGCATGCAGATATCTGCCTCAGAGTCGGTTTCCTGCAAAACCCAACCTCAGTCAACATTTCAGAGGATCAGTTCCAGTTTTTTAATTTTTGCATATATTTATGTTACTTTTAAAAACCTATCCAAACTTAGGTCACCCCAACAACTTTGATGTTTTCTCATCTATTGTTTTGTATGTTAACTTTTAGTTGATAACATTTTATGAATAATTTTGCATGCCACAAAGTATTTTTTTATACC